CAAAATTTCCCATACCCATAATTCGGTCAAAACTGCTCCGATTTGTACGAGGTTTGGATTTTTTCTCATGGTTTTCCCTCCAGATTAATCCGGCATTCAAATCTGAATACGTATTTTTTAGTCGAAATTCATGTCAAAATCTTAGCCCAAGATTCGTATATAGACATGGGTCAACATTTCATATTCCCATAACCCGGTCAAATCCATCCGATTTTCACGAGGCTTGGCTCTCTCTCCATAGTTTGGCCTCTAGATCAATTTATCATCTAAATCTGGCAGCATTATTTTTGATTCTAAATTCATATATAAATTGTACCTTCAAATATCGTATATAGCTATAGGTCATATATATGCAATATATAAAATTATTATTATTTGTTAGAATGATCCATGATTCACACGAAATACTGACTTTATAGTTGCAAAAAAAAAAACTTAAGGAAAGCATTGAGTCCAAGCACAGACTATTATCCCAGGATTTGCCAACATGCTATACATGCATAACCATATGAAGTATTTGTCATATGTGCATTTACTTTTAACGCTAATTGGTCTCTGGCAAAGCGTCGCGTTGACAACGAGACCTGCAGCTGACCAAGTGCCTGTTGGTCTCTGGCTTACGGCTGCCTTGGCGTATACGCAATATTTGCTTTGTGTTCCAACACTTTTCACTGTTTGTTTGCCTGTTTCGTGCTCTGCGGGCCGGGTAGGGAGTCCATAAAATCCGGCTTAAGCCTCATGCTACCTGTGATATGTATGAAATTGTTGCTGCCACACACACACACACACGCACACACACACGAACACCATGCAACATGGTGTACAAAAAAAAGTAGGTCGCACGCATTGGGCGAGGCTAAGAGCAAACTGGATAGCTTCGGCTGGTGCTTGTGGCTTTGCCGACGGCTTGTGCCGTTGGTAAACACTCAAATCCAATTAAATTTAATACGACTTACTTGGCTCCGTTGTGTGTGTGTGTGTGTGAGTCGTATGTGCGTGTGTCTGTGCAGTTCGTTTGTCATTTGCTTTGCGCGCTCTCTGATTCTCTGATTCCCTGGTTTTTATTTTGTTTGTTTTAATTTTTCAGCATTGGTTTTTTTTATACTTTTCTTTTTTTAATGTTATTACTGCTGCAGTGGCAGCCACTTTCGTTTTGGTTTGGTTTACCTCGGGCTTGGCTTAATTAAAGCTTAATTTCTCAAATAACATTTGCCGCTACAAATGAGCTCAAACAAGCTAATTGAGTTTAGTGTGTGTGTGTATAAACACAAGTATGTGTGTGTGCTAAACTGTCTTTGTCAGTGTTTGCTGTTCAATAAATCCGAATGGGAACGCTCTGCAATTAAAATGTATCTGTATCTTACGACACTCAGCGCGAAGCATTTAATATATGCGACAATTTCCTTTCTATTGTGTGCGATACGTGTCTCACACTATTTGCAGGCACTGTTATTTGTACGTACAATTCAGAATTGTGTCATATGCAAAGCAAAACAAGTCTCTAGATGTTTCATTTATAGCTTGCCGAGAACTACTCTAGTCCTTTCGAACTATGGCGTTTAATTTCATTTGGCAAACTGGTGCAGTCAACCGCTTGCAGTGCTGCCAACTCAGCCGTTTTCAAGCTAAACTAGACTTAATATTTTGGCTGTAATACTAAAAGACAAATTACAAATTATTAAAGCCAAAACAATAAAGAAGACTTTTTGAGGAACAGACAAGTGCTTAAATATATGCGAAACATAATGCTTTTAGCTGCCAATTAAGAAAATTGGCCACAGGCAGCGCTTGTTTTAATTAGCCAATTGTTGGCCTTAACACCTAACTACAAATACATCCGTACACGTAATAGATTGTAAATATTTGACACCAGGTTGGCGCTCATCGCACTTTACTTAACCCCCCCCCCCCCCTCCACCAACCATCCACCTTCGACCCCACGCCCCACCGCAGAGTGTGCGCTATTGTTGTGGCCTTAATCCAACAACAATAGCAACAACAACAATTGCAAAAACAAATACTCCACTCAATTTACAACTTTGGCTGGCGGTGAATCGTCAAGTTCAAGCCAGGGAAAACAGTTTGCCCGGCTTATACCCCTTTGGTCCGGCGGCGGGGTGTGCTGGCGAGTTGTTCAATTACTTTTTGCACGATTTGATTTTACATTTAACGATTTTTCGCACTTAATTAGAAGCGAGTGTCGATGTCAGTGGCAGGCAGCTACGGCTGCTCAGCCATGATTTGATTAAATGTGAAGATGAATTTTAATTAAAATCTTTGCGCAACAGCAACTTCGAAGCAACCACCCCTTATCCACTTCAGAGCCCACGGCTGTGGGTACAATTTTGACACTCAACTCGCCGGCCAAAGGGGTTCGGGTCTTAATAGAGCGATAAAGCCGCAAGTTCATGGCAAGGATGGCAGGTCCTTTGTGGGCTTAGTCATTGTGTCATGGCATTCGGCATTTAATTTATGCAAAATGAAAATTAAAGAGCGCTCTGCCGAAAAACTTTTCCGTAATGTTTGGCGCATATTTATGCAAATGACTGTCTAAATGAATTTTCGAAACTACTTACGAGCAATTTGCCAGCAGCCTCGGCTATCAATTTCAATTAAAGACAAGAACTTTAAGGCATGTCGACAACTCACAGCACAGCCCCATCAAATACTTAGCAAATAATTTTGCATAATTTAACAGCAAATTGCAAACAATGCCGCTTTATCTTTTGTCAATGCAAATACAGAGAACGCCACAACTTTTACCAAAGTTTTCGAAAAACAAAAAAAAAACCCAAAAAGCAAATGCCAAAATAAAAACACGGCCACACTCCAAAGTGTGCACACACACACACATTTTCTGGCAGTCACGTGCAGTACAAGATGCTTCAGTGTATCGTATGACTGACTAGAAGTTATCCTATAAAAATAGTCTACGATTTTGCATTCATTAAGTGTAGTTTAGCTAGTTTCATCGATTTATCGACTCTGCCCTAACTGTTTACCGTTAGCTACACCAAATTTACGCATGCAGCTAGAGCTCTTACTCTGATAAAAAATCGTAGCCAATCAAAACCAGACTATATTATTATACTATATATAACTATAATGTAAATATAATAAAACCTAATCATACCGTTTCCAAATCTGAAGCATTTTTTTATCTGAAGCTCTTGAAGTTTTCGATTTCGATAAATTAGTCGACTCATCGACTCCTCTCTATCAAAAAACCGTTCCCCAAGCTAAAGCTCAGCTTTCACTACACATAACAAATTTTCAGTTGAAGCTTCTGCTGTCTCATATTTAACACACAGCTAACACATCTTTCGCCTGTTTTCGTTATAGGATATCAAAACTTTTCCGCACCGTGGCTTAGCGGGGGCATGAAGGGAATTGACTGTCGCGTCCAATGGGCCATTCAAAATTACGAGCCAACAGTTTCCGCAGTGTTTTTTGTCATTTCCATGCGCTCATTGTCAGTTTTAAGTAAGCAACTTTTTCTCTATTCTTGTTGTTGTTCCTGTTTCTCCTGTTTGTCCTGTTGTTGGTTTCGTTGTTCTCGTTGTTGTTGTCGTTTTTGCAGCAGCCGGCAAAAGTTGTTGACCGAAACTGCCTACAAATGCAGACAAATGTGGAAAAACGCATGAAATGCAATAAATTTTCAAATATATTTTGTGTGCGCGGCAGAAAAGCGGAAATTCTTTTTTATTATTTTACCCTTTGAAAGGATGTATGGACTTGCTTTGTCTGTTTATTTGTCATACACCGACAATATGAATCAATTTTAAGCTCGTTTGTTTTCAATTCTTCTTTAACACGCTCTTCCGTAAACGTTGTCAAATCATCATATCATTTGTAGTTCTGCTTAATGTTTGAATATTTATTCTTATATTTATAGCTTCCTAATCTTTTGGAAGCCTTTTGATTTATCAATTCTTCTTTATCCCGCGCTTCCGTAAACGTTTTCGCTTAGTTGGACAATCTTAAGAAGTTCTCTCTTATATGTCCAACTGAATGCAATTTAAGGATACATTTTATAGGGTATAAAAGTTGCGATAGTCTGCCTAGGACTTGCATATCATGTTGTTCCTTTAACCTAGACTAGTTTTCATTGTTTTGACTGGCAGAGTTTTTGCTTGGTGCACTGCACAGCAAGTCAAAGCGATAAACTGATAAAGCTTCATTCTGCAAGCGATCAAAACCAAAAATGCCCGCAGCCAAAGACAATATATAAATCAATTGTTTATTACGCAAGGCGAAAGACAAATTTACGACATAAATTGAAAGCGGACAATAAAAATAGACAAAAATAGATGTCGCAAACGCGTGACTTGCGTCCTGCCACTCAAATCGAACTCCTTGTATATCAAAATTTTAATACCCAATAAAGGATAGCTAGATTATTACATAGATAGTTGGACAGATAATACTAATGCATTTTTATCTTGAGGGAAAATACAAATACAATTGGGTTATTTCCCAAGGCAGTTAATGGAAAGTTCTTATCTTCTTCCATAGACAACAGACGTCTAGCCATATACTCATTAAAGCTAAACAGCCAGGGTATATTAGGGTCTAAAGAATATAGCTCAATGATTTGATCAATATAAATAATATTTTCCCTTATATCTGAACCCTTCCCTGCTGTATATTGAGCGAGTAGAGGGTATCTATTGGCCGAGCAGTGCTGAGTCATGCATGCTCGTCCAGCAGATTGTTGCGTTTTATTTATTAGTTATCAATGAAAATGTTGTAGATTTCATTTAAAATTTTGTAAACAGTCTACTGTCATCTATCGTGTGTATTGTAAATTTTGAGAGATTTTCCAATGAACTTAGTCAAGCGCTTGACACACACAAGCCAAGCGCTCACACTGATAAGACTGATAAGATTTTTCTGATCACATTTTTTTATCAATCGCTGGCATTGCGCATACGTCAAGTGCTGCGCACACCGGCTACTATATAAAGAACACAGCTGAGGCCCAGCAATTTATTAGGCGCTTTGAGCCGGAACGGAACAGAGCCAAATACAAAAAAAAAAAAAAATGTTTCTAAAAACTTGCCTGCTGCTGCTGCTCTGCGGCGTCATCGCTCTGTCCGCCCATGACTACGAGGGGTGAGTGGAGCTGGTCTTTGTGGATTGTCCATTCTGCGTCAGCTTATGTCCAGTTAATTTCCAATTTGCAGCTACAAGATTTACGACATCAAGGCGGACAACAGCTTCAAGAAGGAGCTGCTGCTGCATATTGCCAAAAATACGGAGTATGACTTCTTCAATATGCCACGCGCCTTGGATGCTGCCACACGCGTCATGGTGCAGCCCAAGGATCAGGCGGGCTTTCAGCTGCTGCTGAACGGTTTCGCATTGGAGTATACGGTGGTGGAGGACAACTTGGGCAGCACGCTGCAAAAGGAGCAGTTGGAGAATCAGAGCCAGCGCCTCGTGGCCCAGCGTAATGCTGTGCGCAGCATCAGCTTCACGGCGTTCCATCGTCATGCGGAGATCAATGCCTATTTGGATGAGCTGGCCAAGGCCTATCCCAGCCGTGTAACAGTGCAGACTGCTGGCAAATCCTACGAGAATCGCGACTTGAAGACCATTACCATCTCCAATGGCGATGGTAAGAGCGGCAAGAATGTGATCTTCCTGGACGCGGGCATTCATGCGCGCGAGTGGATTGCACCAGCGGGCGCACTCTATGTCATCTATCAGCTCGTAGAGAACTTTGTATCCAATGCCGATCTGTTGAAGGACTACGATTGGGTTATTTTGCCCGTGGTCAATCCCGATGGCTATGAGTACACGCACACCAACTCGCGCATGTGGCGCAAGACGCGCAAGCCCGCAAGCAGCTCCTGCTATGGCACCGATGCCAATCGCAACTTTGACTTCCACTGGGGCGAGGTGGGCGCCTCCAGCTACTCCTGCGCCGATACGTTCAAGGGCACGACAGCCTTCTCCGAGCCCGAAACGAAAATCGTGCGCGATCTGCTGCTCGGCCTTTTGGGCCGCGGCAAGTTCTACCTGACGCTGCACTCGTATGGCAACTACCTGCTCTATCCATGGGGCTGGACGTCGTGAGTAAACCAAGAAATTGACTCTAACGCTAAGGCCTGCTAATTGCTGCATTGATTGATTTCAGCGATTTGCCCAGTGACTGGCGTGCCCACGATGAGGTGGCACAAGCGGGTGCCGCTGCCATCATGAAATCCACCGGCACCGAATACACGGTGGGCAGCTCCACGAATGTGCTCTATGCCGCCGCCGGTGGCAGCGATGATTATGCATTTGGCGTGGCCGGATTCCCCGTCTCCATTACCATGGAACTGCCCGCTGGCGGCACTGGCTTCGATCCCACTATTGCCGAAATTCTGCCATATGTCAGCGAAACCTGGACTGGCATTCGTGCCATGGCCCAAAAGGTCATTGAAAAATACTAAAGCTCAATGTTGCAAAAATAAAACAACGATATTTTATACACGAAATTTAATGTGTGTGTTTGTGTGTGTGTCTCTGTATCTGGCGTTCCATTTCCGTTGCCCACGATAAGTGCCCACCCATGGAGCGTGGCAGCATTCAGAGCACAGCCCCAACAATGACACACTTGGCCAATTTGGCTCAAAGACCTGCTGTGTTGCATGCCAACACTTCAAGTTATCGCCGCCAATTAACTGGGCTCATAGACTCCACTCCCACAGTAGCATTTCGCACTTGGTTAAGTATTGCTCTGAACACCTTGAAAATCGACTTTTCTCTATAATTGTAATCGCAGAACTTATTTTGTTTACTGGTTTGATTAGAGTTTTTTTCTTAGCTACCTGATTTTTCACTTGGCAGAACCCTCTAGCTAAGCTAGTCGGGAGTGACCGACTAGAAGTTGCCCTGTATCTTATATCTAGCTAGCTTTACCAACGTCTTGAATTCCTGTTTCAATAACATAATTCAATTCATAATAAAAAGGGAATCTTAGTTATTTAGTTCTCTAAAACTAGAAATTGGTTGCCCTATATACCATTTGTTTTCAAAGTTATTACGGGTTTGAGCCAGGGACTTTCCCTTTAACAGCTCTAACCGCAAAGTCACTTAGATAAAAATTTATTGAGATATATTTTTGAATGAAGCTGTTCAAGAACTTCGTATATTGTTTATGGAAAAGAATTCATAGACTCAAATACTCGTTAGGTTACCCTAGGAGGGTTTTCCAATTTATTACACATTTAAAGATAGGGCTTTAGTTGAGTGGATATTTTTCAATCACCTTACGGGCCATGGCCTCGATGCCCACCCAGGTTTCCTTAACAAGCCTATCAATATCTGACGCAGGTGGATCAAAAAAATCGGGTCCACCAGCTGGCAGCTCCATGGTAAATGATATAGGAAAGCCCGCATTAAATGCATAATCATCGCTAGCGCCGGCGGCTGCATACAACAAGGTGGTGGAGCAGCCCACCTGGTATGTGGTGTTGGTTGCCTTCTTTATGGCATCACCACCAGCGCGTCCAACTTCATCCAGATCCTCCCAAGTGTCAGGCAGTTCACTGCAATATTCAACATTTTAGTAAAGACAAGAGTCGAAGAAGTTGTGGCCACCCACTCGATATAGCCCCAAGGGTACAGGATATAGTTTCCATACGAGTGCACTGTCAGATACATTTTGCCACGATCCGCCAGACTGTGTATAAGATCACGCACCACAATTGCCTCCGGCTCGGAGAACGCCCTTGGTCCCGCATAGGTCTCAGCACAGGGATCCGAAGAAGCGCCAGTTTCATTCCAATGAAAACCAAAATTCCGATTGGGATCAGTGCCGATGCACTCGACGCTGCTCGGCTGCCGTGTTTTGCGCCAAAAACGTGTATCCTCCGACAGCTGTGTGTACTCATAGCCATCCGCATTGACCACAGGCAAAATGACCCAGTCATAGTCCAGCAGCAGCTGGGCATGCGCCTCATAGTTGTTCACCAGCTCACCAATGGCATAGACGACGGCAGCCGGTGAGATCCATTCACGTGCATGGAAGCCACCATCCATGAGTATCACATTCTTATTGGCCCGCCCATCCCCATTGGTGATCCGTATGGTCTTCAGCCAGCGGCCCTCATAGCTTTTGCCCACCGTCTTGATAAACACCCGACTCGGATGTTCCTGGGCGAGCTGCTCAATATATTGATTAATCTCTTCTTGGCTGTAGTAACGCTCGGTGCCCAAGCGTCCCTGGTAGGGATACCAATTGCGCAGCATGCGATTCGTTTCGAATTGGCGGCGCAGCGTTAGGCCGACATCATGATTAACAATCTTATAGCTCAGCGTGTGGCCGGTGAGCAATTCAATAAACTCCGGCTGCGCCTCAGGATGCACCATGATGTGGGCAGCAGCGCCATTGTCCGAGTACAAATCATAGTATGACTCATTCTTAACCAGCTCAGACAAGAGCAAATTGACGCCAGTGCTGCGACTTTTTGTGGCCAGCTCATAGATCTTAAAGCTGTTGTTCGGTTAGTTAAGAACTCGAAACATATTCCCAGCTCCAACCACTCACCCATCATAGACGCCGCCCTCAACGTGGCTGAGCGTTAGGCCGAGCCAAAACACAGCGAACCACAATATTTTCATCTTTACACGTTGCCGACTCAAACAAAACTGGCTGCGTATCAAAATGATCAAGCTCAAGAATTCTAATCAGAACACCTTATCAGATAAGATTGCGTACAAATTTGAAAACCCACCCAAAGTAATCAAGAAATTGGTTGTAAAATCATAAAAATCGGCGATATGCGTTAAAAGGTCATTTTGCAACTAGTCTAAACCCTAGGGGAGCGCTATTCTTGTTATATTTTATCTAGAACTTATACTATACTAAGGCTCACAAAATACACTGCCATAAATGATAACAACTTTATAGAAAAGCTATTCATATTCGTAAAAAACATATATGCGAATTTATCTGTATATATATAACTTTTTTCTTAACTCAAACTTCGGGGAAATCTGATGAGATTTGACCGAGTTTTAGTGGTGGGAAATTTGGACCAATATCTTTATATGATATTTAAGGTCTATGTGAACATAGGTCAAAATTTCCCACTCTCATAGCTCGGTCAAACTCAACCGATTTTCCCAATGCTCGGCTATTTGTTCAGGGCTTGGCATCTAAATCTTGCAATATTATTCTTGGTCAAAATTCATGCAAGAATTGTACTCTCAAATATCTTATATATACTTAGGTAGAAATTTCCTACACCCACAACTCGGCAAAATCATCATCCGATTTACTCTTATTTATATAAAAATTATATGGGTATTTAGTACTTACCGCAGTCCTCCTTTTTTGATATGTGTCTTATATACAAATCCCACATCCCATCCATTCAAATAGTTTGTATATTTCCATATTTCCATAGGAGGAAGCAGTATTGATCGAATTTATATATTGATGACAAACGCAGATTTAATATTTGTATCCGTATCCAGGTTTGATTATGCTTGATATTGGTTGTGTTAGTTATATATAAATTATTTTACATACAAAAAAAAAAAAAAAATAAAACAAATAAACAACAAAAGAACACAAAAAGACACAAAAAAAAACACCGGAAAAAAAATAAAAAAAAAACACTAACACTTCGCGTGAAAAACTGCAGAGCCTACCTGATTTCTTGAGAATCGAGGAGTAGAGCACTTGGTAGAAGTTAGTTTTATTTAAATTTGCTGCACTGCAAAAAAAAATTTGGTCTGCATTCGGTATTAAAAAACAAACATGCATGCATGTATAAATGCATACATACATGCATGCATATACTAACAAACACACGCCCACACACACACACTTATATGATTTCATAAATATAGAAATACTTGTTTAAAATATAATAAGAGAATAATGCCATAACCGGCGTGCAATTGCGATTCCTTGGACCAACAAAGAACATTTTTTTAATGAAAGTGCAGTTTTGGCAAAGCTCTACCTTAAATCTTCCTTTGCATCTGTGGAAATTACCTGCACGAGTTATGTGAACTTAAGTCAAACATTCGACTTGAGGTCTCTGCTTTATTTAATACTTTTCGATAACCTTTTCGGCCATGGCACGAATACCTATCCAGGTTTCGGTTACAAACTCATCGATTTTGCTAGCCGGTGGATCAAAGCCTGTCAAGCCACCTCCACTCAACTCCATGGTAATCGATATATTGAAGCCGGCGTAGAAGGCATAGTCGTCGCTGGCCCCAGCGGCTATGTACAGAACATTGGTGGAGCTACCCACCTGGTATACCGTACCGGTTGCCTTTTCAATGGCATCTCCACCAGCACGCGCCACGTCATCGAGATCCTGCCAAGTTTCGGGTAAATCGCTGCAATATAAGTCATTTAGATCAAGGCCATAATAAAATGGAAGGAAATTCAGCTACGAACCTGGTCCAACCCCATGGGTAGAGCAAGTAATTGCCATAAGAATGGATGGTCAGGTACATAATGCCGCGATCCGCCAGTGAATGCATCAGATCGCGTACCACAACTGTCTCAGGCTCGGAGAAAGCGTTGGGACCAGCAAAGGTATCCATGCAGGGATTCGATGAGGCGCCCTCCTCATTCCAATGAAAGTCAAAATTGCGATTAGGATCGGCGCCATAACAGGTCTGGCCCAGATACTTATAGGGCTGCCGAGTCTTGCGAAATATGCGAGCATAGGTGCCTGTCTGGGTATGCTCATAGCCGTCTGCGTTGACCACTGGCAAAATGACCCAGTCATAGTCCTGCAGCAGATCGGCATTCTCTTCGAACCGTTCCACCAACTGGTCAATGACATATAGCACAGCTGCCGGAGAGATCCATTCGCGGGCATGGAAACCGCCGTCCATGAAGATGACCTTCTTGTTGGCACGACCATCCCCATTGGTGATGGTAATGGTCTTCAGTTCGCGCTTCTCATATGACCAGCCGACAGTCTTGACGAGCACACGCGACGGATAACGAGCGGCCAGGTCATCAATATAGTTGGTGATCTCCTCATGTGAATAGTAGCGCTCCGTGCTGAGGCGACCCTTGCCCGAAATGGGTGAGAGGCGTCGCTGCAGCTGCCGCTGGGCAAACTCCGCTGCAATCGTGGCGCCCAGGTTTTCATTTAGCAGGCGATGGCTCAACTGCTCTTCCGACAATAAAGCTTCAAAGTTGTCCAGCTGCTCAGGACTCACAATGACGCGCGAAGATTTACCCAACAAACGAGGTAAGCTAAGGAAGTCGTAACCCTGAAGGCTGAGCCTGTGCAGCAGCTCTCCCTGTGCAGATGTGTTAGGTGTGAGCTCGTAGATGCGATAACTGCAAGCAACAGTTGTCAGGACTACTCAGCCGGTAAGGATCCTTGATAGACTCACCCTTCATAGTCTTGATTGGCGGCCACCAGAGCCAAGCCCAACAGCAGTGTCAGCAAGCCCAAACGCGACATGTTTACACGCAATCGCACTATAGTTACGCGTGCCTGAAATCCAGCACTTAAATAGCCCAATCATATCTAATCTTAACTCGTAATTGATCTATAAATTAGAAGCGTATCCGAACACCGAAATCAAAGTTGTTGGACACAAGACTATCTTTATTTACGACCGAGTCTGGTAACGTCTTATCACCTCCAGGGCCATGGCACGCACACCCACCCAACTTTCGGTGACAATGCCCTCGATGTGCGAGACCCACGGATCGAAGCCAAGGAATCCGCCAGCTGGCAGTTCCATGGTTATGGCCACCGTTGCATTGGCAACGCCCACAGCATAATCTATGGAATCACCGGACGTAGGGTACATCAAATGATATCCACTGCCGTAGCTATAAATGCCATTGGTAGCCTGTACGATCGCCATGGCGCCCGCATCCGCCACTTCCATCATATCAAAGTAATTTGAGGGGAAGGCACTGCGAAAAGCAAGGTAAAAGAGCTATTTAATAGGTTATACTTAGACTAAAAATTTTCAAAATCTGTCTTGAAACATAGACATATATTTAGCGTAGAACATATATATCATAATTCCTCAGTATAACTGAATCCTTGCTCGATTCTCAGACTTGTACTTGGCTGTTGGGCTGTCTTGGCCCTAGGATTTGTGAGCTAGTGGTCTTTAAAAAAGTAAGCTTAACTTTATTCTCAACTTAAAATAAAAAACATCCAGCAACATTGTAAATGGGAAGACAGCATTATAACTCGATGGTCTAGATTAAGATTCGAATCACGGTCTGCCTTCTGCAATAGGTTTGCTATTATAAACATGACCTTACTTTAATTAATTTAATACCAATTATTTACTGATTTAATTTGACTTATTGGAATTATTTAATTTAGAGGCATAATTCTTGGGCTTACCTTGTGTGACCCCATGGCAGCAAGAAATAGTTTCCATACGAGTGGAGTGAGAGGTAAAAGTCCAAGCGATCGCTGTAGTGCAGCAGCACGTCGCGTACCACCTGCGACTCAGGCTGATCAAACGCGTGCTCTCCGCGATAAATTTCCTCAGCGGGATCCGCCGAGGAACCTTCATCGTGACCCCACTCGTAGCCAAAATTGCGATTCAGATCGGTGCCAATGTTCTCCGGATCCCAGGTGGGTTTGCGCGTCTTGCGCCAGTAGCGCGAGTCTGTGTGAGTAAACTCATAGCCATCCGCATTAACAACTGGCATAATAACCCAGTCATAGTCCTTGAGCAGTTCGGCATGCTCCACATTATGGTCCAACAGCTGCTGAATGATGTACAAGGCGAACGAAGGCGCAATCCACTCGCGTGCATGCATTGTGGCATCGATAAGGATCACAGGCTTCTTTCGTCTTCCATCCCCATTGTTGATGGTCAGCAGCTTCAGGGCACGTCCCTCGTAGCTCCTTCCAAACTGCTTGAGCAGCGCACGCTGCGGATATCGCTGAGGCAAGCTCTCCAAATACTCATTAATCTCTGCATGCGTATAAAAGCCACCCAAGACATCGATGAACGGCAACGTGGAACGCGACTTGCTGCGCTCATTCTCGGCACGCTGATCCCGCAGCAGCAAGGACATGTCATTCCAGAGCAGCTGATGTTCTATGTGATGTGTCTTCAGCTGTTTCAGCAAACTGTTCACTTGGTTGGGTGCCACCAGGACACGCAATCCACTCTCATTGTAACTGCGCCGTGTGCCCAGAATGTCCCAATGAGGTTGCTCCCGCGCCAGCTGACGCAGTAGCTCCAGCTGATTGGCATCTTGTGGCTTCAGCTCAAACACCTTATAGTCCTTGTAGTCCTGCCAGGCCAACAGACCAGCGAACTGCAGCAACACTAGCACCAGCAACAATCTCAACGATGTCATTTGCGGCAAGTTCCGAAAAGACTATTGCCAAAAATTTCGATACCTTTGCCATGGCAAGCCACTTATCACTTAATTGGAACTGCTGCCGACTATTAGACTTGGGTTACGATACCAATAAGTCCGTTTATCGTATGTACTAGACGCTTCTGTTTATGACATAGTGTAAAATTAAAAAAAATCACCAATAAGTTCAGGGAGTATGAAGTACGTCGAAGAGAACTAGTTCCTTTAATATATAGTTCATCTGTGGGATATGCAATTGTTGATTCCTGAATCACGTCGGTGATTATTATCCGATCTCTATTTTAAAGCTGAAAGTTGACATTTAAATTAGTTCACATACAATATTACTCTAGAAAGTCGTAAGAGAAGAATTAAAGAAGATATCCAGAAAGAAAAGTAATCTAACACAAAGCTTAAATGCTTAAAATCGATATTTATCGGTGCGTGCTATCGATAATTTTAAATAAACCTAAGCTACGTGGGCATACAATAGCCTATGCCTCCAAATTTGAGGTCTCTTACATAAATAGACTCACCAATTATTCTTTACATTACAGATTTATCTGCTTTAACTGTTACGCACATATTGCCCATTTACTTTGAGTACAGGGTATTGATAATTTTAAGTTACCGCTAACGAACATCAAACCGTGTATTTGTTATCTTTTGTCTCACTTTCTCACTTTAATGCCTAACAACAATGACACTAATTAGTTAAATTAACAATTATAAATTCAATTGCTTAAATGCTAAGGACGGCCAAAATACTTAATAGAGACTAACGTGCCGGATGAACTCGACGAAACCGGCAAATGTCTCCTTGCAGACGTGTATGATATCATAGGAGGGCACATGGAATTCATCGCCGGGTAGCTCAACCGTGTAGGACAAGGGTATGCCCAGGCTGCCATAGGCAAAGTCATCCAGACTGCCAGAAGCCTCGTACAGTATGGAGGCGGAGGTGCCGATGGTGTATCGTGTGCCGCGATATTTGCCGATTTGGTTGGCGGCCCGCGATGCCACGGAGCGCAATGTGCCGACGGTTGGTGGCACTGTGTTTCTGTATGGATGCGAAATGGGTGTTAAAATGTTTACAGTGCCAGTGCCAAAAATATTCGCATTTTAATTGCTTTTAGCAATTAATTGAAAAGTAAATTGAATTTCTTTTTGCCCCTCAGAGCTGTAAACTCAGCACCCAAAGGCCGGCCGTCCGGCCATACACACCTCGCATAGCCGTAGGGATAAAAAATGAATTTGCCGAATGAGTGCACATCCAGGCTGAGCTTCACACGATGACGATTGAATTCCAGATAGCGAACCACCGCCGATGTTTCCGGCTCCGAATTTGGCGCCGTGCCCGAATAGACCTCCGAACAGAGCTGTATGCGTTGATGGGGGTTAAAACCGTGTTATACATTATAAGGAGGTCAAAGTCAATGTTACAAGTGCTGCAACAGGTCGCTTACATTCTGGCTGGCGCCCTGATAGTTCCAGTGATTGCCAAAGTTACGATTGATGTCCACCCCGCTGCAGGAATGACCAGCATAGCGATGGCGATTCTTGCGCCAGAAACGATCCTAAGAGGCAGATATATTGGAAATCAATTAAACACAATTCTACGGAAGTAATTCCAAGATATCTGCAGGCGATCTATGAAGTTTCCATGGAATTAGATTAGCTATCGGATTTTCCTTATCACATTATTTCGTTCTAGCAACTAATTATTTGTAGTATAAACTTTTAAGTGCGTAAAAAGTTGAAATTAGTTATTTAATAAATGTTTTTAGCCTAACTTAGATGATATATATATACTTAAATGATAATGATTAATTTTACCCTAATATTAACTTAAGCTTCGGCCAATTTATTCCTAAAACATTTCAAGCTTCAAATTAAAACAAGTTTATATAAGTTCTGGCCTTGATATGTGTTTAATTTATTCTTGATTGAAGAACTTTCAAACCGAAGCAAGTGCGAACTAGTCGTGATTGACCGACTAGGAGATACCCTGCCAAGCTACCTTTTCAAAAACTTTAACTTTCATTCTATAGTATCCAAAAAAGATTTCTGGTAAAAAAAAAACATGTTTCAAAATCGATATTTATCGATGAGAGGAAATATCGAAAGAAAGAAAGAACAATATATATGCATAGATAAAGTCTCTGCTATGTATAGATTTCGAGATCGAAACAGAATATGGACATATTATCGAACCGACGAAGATGGATATAGCTTCTTATGTTAGAGAATGTAGAATGTTTGTTTGGGAGCATAGTCTATTGCTTACCGTTGTGTGCGTGTACTCATAGCCATCGGGATTGACGAGCGGCACAAGGAACACCTCGACATCGTTCAGTACCCGCTGGAATGCGCGCAGATTGCTGAGCAGCTCGTAGGCCAAGTAGAGCACCGTCTGCGTTGTGATCCACTCCCTGCCATGGGCAGCTGCCTGAATGTAGGCCACACGGCGCGGGCGAACACGCTGGTTCAGCGATATGGACAGGCCGGCAATGTGACGGCCCTCGTTGGAGCGACCCAGCGATTCGTAGCGGCAGTACTGTGGATAACGTGCAGCCAAGCCGCTCATGAAGTTGAGTATCTCATGATAGCGCGGATAATGCGAGAAGAAGCCGCGTGCCTGACGACGCTGTCGATTGTGTGGACGCTCCGACTCGCAACTCCCCGGCTGGCATTCATCCAAGTCATCGGCATCCGCATAGGTGCTATTCGCTTCTAGCGATGCCATTAGATCCATCAGTGGCTGGGTCTGATATTCCACACCCAACTGAGACAGGCGCGACTCGAACTGTGGCTTACGCTGCGGACCCACCGTCAGCACAGACATGTTCCGGGTGAGCAGCCAGAAGTCCACCTCGGTATCGTTCGTCTGCAGATCGACCATATAGCGAAAGGCGCTCTCATCGCCATGCTGCACCGTGTACTTGGTATAGCTGCAGGAAATTGTGGTAATCATATTAATTAAAATAATTATAATCATAAGGCAGCTATTGCCAGAAGATTAAGTCTCAATTGAGTTATTCATTAAATCTATTCTGTGGGAACGAGCGTGGTTCGAATCCTAATTATCTTCACAACTAAGCTATTTATTTGCTCGTCGCAAAAAGGGTCTGAAAAACCTTAAATTCGAATTAGGAGATACGCTTAAGTGCCTGACTAGTACATACTCTGCGTTCAGGGAAACCTAAGTAACAAATTTCAAGTCTGTAAATCATTCCCGAGAATGTGTGTATAAGTTCAAAAAAGCCGCCTTCTAGCTCTATCAAAAATTTACAAAAAAGTAGCATACCCTTTTTAACCAGGGTTACAGGGTATAACAACTTTCTAACGTCACGGCTCTCATTATAACGTAGCTAAATGTTAAATTTAGCATAAATGTTTCCAAATGATCTCATAAGTTCTATAGTAAAAGTTCTTGCTAAGATTATGAAACTTGTGTTCGGGTATTAAATCACATTTGCAGCCAGTTTCGATGCTCTCACAAACGAGTTTATGTTGAATATTTAATTTGTTCTTTATGAAACCAATTAAGTTTAGGCTACATAAAAAAAAACTCATGAAATGTTTGCACGTTTTGAATCTTAGCCCATCAATTGGTAATCCCGATTACGTGCAATTGCGTCCAACTAATTGTTGAAATAATAGATATCCAATTAAAAATTCGAAAATTCCCAATTAGATTGCTTCGCACACACCCAAAGAGCTGTCTTGATCTAATTGGACAACAAAATTAATTTGTGGCGCCCAAAAATGAGTTGTTGATTCACAAATTTATGCAGAATGCTCGTTCTAGTTGTCGTCGCCCGGCCAATTGGCGTTTTGCCACCTCGCTTGAATTTGTGGCCAATTTATCATTTCAGGAAATTCCACAACGCCAGCAGACAAGATGAAGCAACAAGCTGGCCCACAAATATTGAAAATCTATGCATATTCATCTTGTGCAGCAGCTGGGAGGGGGGGCGAAGCAAGTAGCCGAACAGAAGACAAAGCTGCGGCTAATCACGTGTGGCAGTCGGCATACAATGAATAATATATAATTAAATTAAACGCCCGCCAAAAATGTTTATCTCACACACAGAAACAGCAGGCAAAGAGCGGACACAAATACTCAAAACTTAAAACAAAAGTTGGGTGTGACTGACGAGGAAATGCCCTGTAGTCAGTGTCGAGAATCCCATCACAAACAAATGGAATCCATATCAAAATCGATATTTATCAATATTATGGATATAGAAGAAAATATTGAATAAATAACTTTCAAATTAAATTAGATAATTTAATTATTAATATTTATCGATATTATGGAAATGGAAAAAACAATATATAATGTTATAAACTTCGAGATATGCCTGAAAACCTTTATTAAAAATTTGAATCATATATGAACTCATCAAGAATATGGGTGTGGCCTCAAAACCAATATACCCTTCGTTACCCGATTTCAATGGCTACAGGGTATACAAAATGAAAACCCCGCAGGCGACCGCATAGGCCAACTAATTTTTCATTTTTACATAAAGAAACGGTTTACATGCGATTAGTTTGATTTTCATTTTAATAAAACGTGCTGCTGTTGCAGTAATTTTCCTTAAATTATGGCCAAATGAAGCGCTATTGTTGGCTGCAACCTTGTCAAAACGATGTCTATGCATATTAAGCATCTATTTTCAAGCATTCCAATTTTAAATGTTTTGTGTCGAAACAACAACAACAACAAAAGAAAAACAACCTCAACACACAACAACGGAAGGAAGCAAACATTTTGCGTGCTAATTAAAAATCAAGTTGTGGTTTTGGGCTCGTTTTCAATTTTTATTTTCATCACTTGAAGAGATCTCGGCCCAAGCACAGTTGCTCGCATCCATCACACATACGCCGCGTGCGCCCCCCTCTGAAAAAAAAAAAAAATCTTTGGGCAAACATTTGCACTGCGATCGCTTGGCATTTGCATACGGCTTGCTGTGTCATCGGCGGATCGTCAATGGAGCTGCCTTCTGCCATTGGCGTGATTTTCATTTTTTTTGGGTTTGTTTTGCAGGCACGCCTGACTAGCGCAACATTTAGTCTAAGTGCTAATGTTAATGACAGCGTCTAATCACTGGCATTGACAGTTGCTTCGTTAATACATGTTCATGTGAGTGTGTGTGTGTGTTTGCATATCTAGCCAAACATTTGTCAGCCACTGAGAACTCTCTGAGACTTTTAAGACTTATAACCGCACATAACTGAGAATCTTATAAAGAAATATATATTTTTATTTATATTTTAAGACAGATCTTAAAAATTTTGAAAATTTCACTCAGTGCTTTACATCTTTAAGTATAAAAAATAAAAGATACTCAGCAAATCCAACTTCTTAAAAAAAAGCTAGATACTTAGGCCTGCACCCTAGCAATAGCCAGGGATTTGAACCCGCATTCTCCTTCAGCAAGACGTATCTACCGAGCACTGCTATCAAATTCTTACTTTAACTTTCCCCATCACATGAACTTCTCTAAAAATGTCATTCAACAATATTGTAATTTAAATAACCCATTACTTTCAGTTACAAATCTTTACAGCTTACACTTAAGATTCAAATATTTTGTGTTCCTTCATTAAAAAGTTAACGTTATTTAATGCACAAAACTGAACTGAAAATTTTGCATGTAAACCGTTGAAAACATGTTTGACAAACTAAAGGAATTCACTTTGAACTGGGGCTCCAAATTGTATCGCAATTTGCTGATCATATCTGTTTTGGCCATACCCTATCTAACATTCAAGTGTCAAATAGACAAACTCTCCACATTCGATATTGGGCTAATGTATGCAAGTATTGCAATCGGTGTCATCAGCTGTCTGGAATACGATATGCAACGGCATTAAAAGGGAGAGTCCGCTTTGAGCAGTTGGTGAGTGTGAATTAAAAACTGACCATATTTTAAGCACCTTCCCGAACCGGTTATAAACTGAATCGGTTCGTTTCGGGAACAACAGTTTAAATATTACCTAAACGGGTAAGCGGCTACCCAAACTGGAATCGGTTCAAAAAGCCAAAGGTTCAAAGCCAAATTCTGAATCAAATGTTATTTGAACAAATTTTTAGTTTCTTTTTTCAACGTTCTTAAATTTTGCCTAATTTTAAATTGAAAAAAAAATGTGACCAGCTCTATTTGGAAAGCAAAAAAAAACAGATGTATGAACCGAACTAAAAGGCAAGGCATTGGTTCGGTTATTATCTTTTTTTTTTTGATTTAAAAAAATGACAATAGTATTAAAACAAAAGAAAAAAAGTCATTTTTAAGATTTTGATTTTGCCAAATTTCGTGAGAAAAAAACACCTGGTTAATATATCTGAAGCCTAGGTTCATAAGCCGAACCCAAAGGCAAGGTTCAGTTTTGTCCTCTCTTTTTTTGTTTTTTTTTTGTTTTAAAGAGACGGGCACATGGCTAGTTTTAAGGTAAAAGCCCAAAACCAGTTTACCAACCGGCAATCGTTAAATAAAAATGTTAAATTTTATCAAAAAAAATAAAAAACAAAATAATAATAAATGACTGCCATAAGAGGGCCGCCTGACAGATGTGCTTAAAATATTTATATCAAAAAAAAAGTTTATATATATGAATAACAATGTATTTATAACTATTGTGTTAATTACCCTTCATAGCCGGCCAGATTGTTGGAGCTGGTGCTGGAGCACGCCAAGCCGAGGAGACACAGCAGCAAACTGCACACGATTTTATAAAACATTTTGCGCTTAACAATTGGCCACAGCTGCTCGTATTTGTGTTTGTTGTTGATAAATTTGTTGTTTAGTATTTGATTGTTGCTATTTTTTTTGTTTTTTTTTTTTTAACAAATTATGTATTAAAATATGCAGCTAAGCGCTGAATGAAGCATGGATGCACTTGCTTTTTGTTATTTGTTGTTACACAATTATAATAAATTTGCTTTAGCTTTTTACTTGTTGGTTGCACTTGAAAAACTGATGTAACAAAACCACAAGCTTAAGTTAACTTAAGCTGAGCTCCGCCCGATTCGTGTGTGTCTCATCTTCGTTTCGGCCAAAGACTGTCGAACGGTCCGCAGCGCGGCTCAGCAAGAAGACGTTGCCACAGCCAACCAAAATAAAAAATAAAAAAAAAACCCCGAAAAACAAAAACAACCAAAATTGTTTCGTTTCGGTTTTTGTAGAAAAGTAAGTGTCAAGGTCAGCCGTGTCCAGTTCAATCCAACGATCGCCGTGGTCCAACCAAATACAAGACGATCTTTTTTTTTTTTGGGCGATTGTAAACCCGTCACGAGACAAAATGCGGAAAGCGTTTTTTTCCAAAATGTTCGCGGCACGCGTCGCAGTGTTTTTTGTTTTCTTTTTTACTGTTTTTTAAGTTAATATATTTCGATTAGAATTTGCTTAGTTCTTGCCAATTAACTTTTGCATAATTTATGCCAGTTGCTAAGAAGCCAAATTTAATGGGTTTTCGGTTTTTTTATATATTTTTCAAATGAAATTAAATGAATTTTTTATTTTCTTTAAGAGAATTGATGGTTGATATTTTATTTTTTTCGAAACTTGTTTTAAACAATTTGATCACTTTGCCATACGCACACACACACTCGCATAAATGTGTCTCAGTTGTTGTTGTTGTTTCTTTTTTTGGGTCTAGTTCGGTTTTTGATCTTTAAGGGGTTTTGCATCCGCGTGTTGCGGGTCTTGAAGTGATTCTGAAGCCGTTACTTGTTTTCTTACTGGTTTTTATAGAGGAACTTGAACTATGCGACTGTCCCTGTGTGTGTGTGTGTTATGCTTTGGGCCAACTTTGCTCTTTGTCTTCCTAATGTCACGGTCTGACATGGAGATACATAGCCATAGGCCATATTTTGCGCGCCAAATACTTATTAAATTCCTGTTCTATTCGAATCGAATTGAAAGAATAACAAGATGCGCGC